AAACATATCTCAGTCCTTAGTTCAGTTGCGTTTGTAGGTGTTCTAGTAAAGTATCTGTTGGGGAACCAAATCGGGAGTGTTTTGTCGGTCTTGTGAGGCAAAGGGGATCCAGTATGGTCCAGTTGTGGGGGTTGTTTGTCCATTTTGTCTGCAGGTGTATTAGTCTTTCCGAGATTTTTGTCATGTTTGTGCGTTCGTATAGTAGTTGGTTGGAAGGGTTGTGCAGTGGGTTTTGGGGGTGTCTTATTCGTGTTATTAGTCTTAGTGCAATTTGTTCTGTTGTTTYTACGTATCGTTTTGTCCTTTCTGTTCCGTTGGCGATGAGTATATGTCCGTAGTCCAAGAGGGGTCTGCAGATCGCTTTATATATTTTTGTCGCGGTTATTATAACTATTTATTATATTATAATATTAACGGGTTAGTAAAAAATTTAAAAATGACCTGCAAGCTTTCAGCTGTAGAGGAATAATAAATGTAAAGTTCGATTATTCTTGCTATATACCAACCGAGCCATGCTATGTACACTTCATATATATCATCATTATTAGAAAGAAACATAAGAAAGCGTACGCTAATACCGTTTGATGGTATTAATTGAAATTGAAATCTTAAAGTTCTCAAAATATTTGGTTATAATGTATGTCCATTTAAGCTGATTAATATTTTAGCGTTTCCCAAGATGTTATTATCATAGTCATTTCAGTGTTGATTTGGTTTCAGATAAGTCGTGTTCATCATTGTGTCCATTCATGACCGTTCACGACAAGTTAAAGCATGCATTGCACTGCTGCTTCTTCCTCTTCATTATTGGTCTTATGGAGTATTTGACACTTGGAAAACCCAATGTAGTGGATTCATCGTATCTACGACCATGGGAGAAATATGGAGTGTTTTTCACTTGTGTTTTGTATGGATTGAGATTTGTCACCTTGTTGCCTCTACCACAAGCAACGTTCAATTTTGTCGGAATGATTTTTTACAATACTTTTCCTGGTACGTTTCACCAACGTAATAAGGAAAAAAAATTAAATTTATCGTGCAAAATTCAAACACCTTTCTTTCTTAACTAGAATTGCAGTGAGTATGAAGTTGACGAAATACCATATTTGGGAGTTGAAGTTATACATTGGAAATATTAGCATTTTAAAATTCACCGTTTCAAATTTACTTTTACTTTAAATAATTATCGCTGTTGTCGTGCTACTCTACTTGGTTTGTACCATACCATGCATAAAAACTGTCAATAACGGCCAATAATTAACTAATAATTATTCGATAACTTGTAAAGTAAATTTCAATATTTACGCACTGATTAATAAGTGTAGCTCTGCCTTAAGTAGAAACTGAAAAATGTTTTATG